ACACGTAATACTAATTAATAACTAGTTAATAACTTGAAGCGTTATTTAACTACAAATTTATAGTTACTTATATATATGATATGACTTTCTTCTTTGGGATTTATACATGAGGATTTCATATCAAATTCATATTTGAATTTTATAATGATTTCGAGGACACCGCCCCATGATTACTCCTTCAGTATATTAGATTTAATATAAATTGGATTAAATGTAATTTCAAACTGAAGCTGAAATATTGTCTTAATTTGCATATTAGTATTATTAAACATTAAAATCCCTGCTTTAACTAAAAAAATAGAATTAATTCTTCTAATTGATTATTTCTTTAGATTTATTTTTAATCTAATTGATTGATTTTCTCGTTGATCTAAAACTTCGAATAATAATAATTATTTAGAATAATAAAAATTATTTATTATGATTTTATTTTAATTTTTATTGCAGACGTTCAAACCACAGAAAATAGCGGAAATATTCCATTCCAGAAAACTCATCGAAAACTCATTCAAAATCATTGTAAAACTTTATCGCCAAGAGTATCCGAAAAGAAGAATAGTACTTCATCACGAAAGCGTTTAGAACTATGGCGAAACGCGTTTCGTTCATTAATAACGTCGGAAAAATCACAAAAGGCAATCGCTTCTACATCGAAATCAATAACAGAAACACTCCCCATTCCGCGAAGCTCATCGAAGAAATCGGTGAATGCAGCATGCGAAAGTGTTGTTACTTTAGCTTCCACATCTACGTCTTCCATGAAACATACAACATCGGTCGGATTTCCTTCAAAACTTACTTCGCCAAACAAACAGACAAAAGACTCAACAAAGCTGACAGAATGTAATGATACATCTAAATCCAAGTCATCTATCAGCAGTAAAAATCTTCCAAGTGACGCGAATGTTGATAAAATCATCTCTAGGAGCGACTTAACTCAATCTAAGAATACTGTTTCTAAAAGTCCGTGTAAAAACGTAGAAGTGACAGACAATGTTATTACATTAGACTCTTTCTTAAATTCGAACAAGAAGATATCAGAGATGTCACCGAAATTGCATAAGGAAGCAACCAGTCTTAAATTGTCAACTAATAATAAATCTGAAAGGTCAAAGACCTCGAAAAACTGCAGCATTGAACAATTTCAAACAATACAACACAAAAAAGAGGAATCACATAAGTGCATTGCGTGTGGCTCGTCATTCAAGAATTACGATTTGTGGATAAAACATTTGGCTAACAATTTTAATACAACACATATGAATGTGAATTCTAAATCTTCCTATGCATCAAAATGTATAAAAGCCTCGCTTTTAAAAATTATGAGCAAGGAGAAAAAATTGGAGAACTCGAAACCATCGACATCGAAATGTTCTTCAGTTAATGAAGAAAGTGACTCACATCAATTAGATAAACCCGTTATTAATTCCGATATGGAAAGTTCATCCTCTTCTTCGTCCTTGTCATCATTGAAAGCCATCAAAATGCGCCGTGAACAATTCAAAGTATCAAAAAGGAAAATGAAAAGTAGGTCAGTTATGAAGTCAAAATCTAGTCGAAATTCATCAAGTGGAGCGGAAATTCCGGACTCCAATAATGTTGAATGTAGTAGTTTAACGAACATTAGAGTAAAACAAAAAATAACATGCAAGATTTGTTCAAAGTCCTTTGATACCAATCAACAACTTTTTGAAGATATGGCAAAGCATATGCATAACGATTTCCAGAATATGCAAACAGCGATCGAAAATTATATTATTTCTACACAAGAGTCTAACAAGACTAACGATCAAGTCTCCAATGATATAGTGAAAAATTCAATAGAAGCAGCCGTGGAAGAGGTCGAAGTAATTAGAAATGATATCAATGAGTCAGAGAAGAGTCAGCGAGAAAATATAAACGAATCGAATGCGGAAAATCTTGTGAGTTTAGAAGTATCACAACAAGATACAACCAAAGAAAAAAACAAAATTTCGAACTTATCAGCAGAATATACTATAGAGCAAGATGTAAAAATACAGTCGACATCTGCAACGAATAACGTCGAACAGGAAGTTGGCAAAACGCAGTGTACGGAAAAAGAAAACATATGTGATGCTGGACCATCTTTAGAACTTCAATCGGAGAGATTCTTTACTATTTGTGAGTGCCATAAACCCAAAAATGAAACAATTGAAGCGATGGGATCGAACATTTACATCGAAATAGTTTTGTTGTGTACCACTTGCCAGACAATATTTCGAGGCTTGGAATGCTTTGAAGTGCATTGTACGAGTTCCGTGGATGGCATGCTCTGCAACAAAAATCGACTGCAAGGTAGAAAGTCCAAATTACTCTGTGTCAGCTGTCAGCAGATATTGAACTCTCTCCAGGATTTGTTGCAACATCTAACGATGCATTCCCGGCTTAATCACAGAGGCACGGTGACATTTTCTTGTAGCACATGCAAAGTCATCTTCTACAGTTTTGGACCGCTCTTTGAAAGCCATTTCCAAAATCATGAGAAGAACTCGTTATTCCTGGCTAGCCGTCTCTCGTTTCCAAGGCCTTCATACATCAGCTCAAAACTTATCAAGTTACTGGCGACAGATATACCGATAGAGCAGCTTTATATGCAAATAGCCGATTATGTGTGCCAACATTGTAGAATGCCTTTTATCTATGAACAAGATCTGAAATCACACAAAATGATTTGCGAAAGCCACAACGTCGAGTCTCGCTTCGGATCTTCGGACGGCAAAAGTACGATCTCGATCACCCCCAGCAAAATACCAATTTTGCTAATATGCGGATTCTGTAACAAGACGTTTTACAGCAGGATGTCTTTTGAGCTACATTCGTTGGAACATACGCAGAAGCGGGAGGTACACTTGCATTATACTTGCGTAGCTGTTACCGCCGTAACGAAAGTATATATCTGCAAGGTATGCACAACCATGTGGCAATGTTTGCAGACCTTCAGAGAACATTGGCGGACTCACAGTGAGCTGCGGGCGGAATATATATGCTCTCTCTGTCGTAATTATTTCCATAGTGTTGAACTGTTCCAGAAGCATGCGCTCGTGCACAGAAACAACGAGAAGAAGCAAGTGCCGATCACATGCGAGGTAATCTATCGCGACATCAGTGATCGGAACTTCAACATAAATTCGCAAAGCGACACTACCATAAACGAATTACCTTATATGAATTTGAGTTATTTCGATAATAAGAAAAATGTCGTTGATAAGACTGTGAATAATAAATCCTGCGAATCACAAAAATCGACTCGCTTACTGTTGAAAAATCTCATGAGTGAGAATCGATCTACGCAGTCATCAGTACGTTCCAATAAAGAAGCACAAGCAACCGGAAATGTCCCGCACGTTCCGGTACAAGTTCCCTCATCTAATTTCCTCGTCGCAGTTACACAATCCGAACCAAATAGCAATTCGGGAAATCTTGGTGATGACTCGGATGAGGACCTAACGATAGTGTTGTCGGAAAGTGAAGAAAGTTCAGTATCGAGTGGGGTCAAAAGAAATGTTGATAGTATGCCTTCCACTACGCCAGAAAACACGAAATCAATGACGTCCGATTTTGCCATTATTGATGGGCAAATGCGATATTCCAACGATACGACTCTGATCGCCGCAGCATCTTCGAAGATTTCGAGCTACGTAAGAGAAAGTACAAGTTTAAATTCCCGAATTAGTGTCATAACTCCGATAGAATCCGAGAACACGCAGCTGAAAACAAATTCGAACGTTTCGAGGGATAACAATGCTCTCGAAAATAGTGTAGATCGCTCGGTATCGTCAATGGCGAATTCTTCGAGAGAAGATCTCAAAGAATCATTACCGGAGAACGCCATGAGTTCTGTGCCTAAGACTTTCTTACGCGTGAAATCCTTGGCAGAGCTAACAAATACTCCACCGGAGAAATTCTTATGTCAAGTGTGTAGCCTGTCATTCGAGTCTCGGCAGAAATATAGAACACATAAGTTAACACACATTCGGTCTCTTCAAAACAAGACAGATGACCAAATCACTTCTTCCGGCAATATACAAGTCTGGCCAGCTAAACCGACGTTCAATCCTCAAGCAGCCATGCCCACAACATCAACTCAGGATTGTTCCCTCTCTTCCGCAATGACTCCATCCGTCACCGTGCATCCGAATACATCTACAGAAGTCTCGGCCAATTCTCGACAATATCAAATGATCGGCGTGAAGCCATTGCGTTCGATCAAATATAACGCGAATGTAGAAACATCAAAAGTGAAAGAAGCGTTATGTTATGAAAAGTCAACGTGTGTTTCGTTAAACAATGTCGATACTACTTCGCAGCAAATCTCGCAGAAGACAGCTTATCATCAAAACTTGTCACCTCTTGTCAACTATCCATTAAACAAGTCAGTCCAATCTGCCCAACAGCATCAGAGTACTGGCACCGTAGCTGTCAGACCATTCTTACAAACTTATCAAACGTCCGAACTACTGCCACCACCATATTTGCAACAACAGCATTCGCAGCAATTACAACATTCACAACTGGTGCATCAACAAAAACAACATCAAATTCAACAACAACAACAGTTACAACAGTCACAACTGCAACAGACGCAGCAACATCATCAGCAGCAGCAACAACAGCCGCAGAAATTGCAACAACAGCAACAAATACAGCAACCGCAACAGGTACAGCAATTGCATCAGCAATCGCAATACCTGCAACAACAGTTACAACGACATTTACAATTACAGTTACAATTACAACATCAGCAACAGTTGCAGCATCAGCAACATCAACCACTACAGCAGCAGCAACAATTGAATGTTGGCAATAATGTTATGCATTACATAATATCTAAGACAGACATGTCTTACCAATTGCACCCCAATAACCTAATACCAACGAACACGGATAACGTTATGCTCGTAACTGTAAACACAATGCAACAGATCTCACAAAATCCGGATCGTTACATCTGCATATATTGTCCAGGCTTTGAGTGTGGTTCAATGCAGGAGTTTGCGTTGCACGAGCATTCATCGAAGCACGAAGCCCGTAGCCGTTACAACAACGTTACTTATTTATCTTGAACGTAAACTATAGATGATAATTATATTTCTTGAAAGTTAGAAAACGATTGATGATATTAAGGAACACAGTCACTTTTCGATGAACATATAGATTCTATGCCATTTTAAATAACATTAGAATCACATGATACTGATGTGATCAAGTATCAATTTACTGATCTGTAAATAAATGCATTTTCATCTGAACAGAGAGACATTTTTGTTATTTATCTGAAGTAGAACAGAAACTTAATAAGTACTCTTATATGATCTGATTAATTTTTCGGTAAGTTTTGCAGATATGTTATTTAATTCTTTTGTTTAATTTAAATAATTTTCTTTTTGATTTAAATTTTTAATAAAATTGTTGCTTTTTTAATATTTAGCATCTTAGGTATTGATATTACATTTGTCGTACGATAAAGCATTTCAAGTCTATTGATTGGCTCAAAAAAAGAAAAGTTGTCTTATTTCTCTATCCTATAGAGCCAATCAATAAACTTACAATTTTTGTCATACAACAAATATAATACAAGTCTTAAACGTCAAGTAGTACGATATTTATTGTATTGTCTTTTTTTCTACTTGTAATAAATGTCATTGTGAAAAGAACTTTTTTCATAATGTGATATTATTTGTTATATGTCATTCCTCGTAGCATTTTCATTAATTTGTTTTATTATACTCATGTTCTTTTCATATTTTAATATGTTTAGAAATAACTAGCAATTCGTTACATTGATGATTGTTCTTGTCGAAATGTAATTTAATTTGTAGTATTTTGTAATTTGATAGAATTTGATAGATATAAGAAGAATTTCTTGTCATTATTTTCATAGTTTTCATCATTTGTGTAATCTTTATCAGTCCTATATTTTATTTTATCATACTTGTAATTAATTATACTATTCTTTATATTGATAACTATATTTTTATTTACACATAACTATATTAAGCAATGACATTTTGCACTTGATCTCGTTTGAGATACAGGTTTTTTTTTTTTTTTTTTTTTCAAAATTGGCGTTACACACGCACACATACGCAATACATAGTGCTTAACAGATCAAAATTCCATAAAAAAGTCATATATTTTGCCATATATTTTGTGTTATTATTATTATTATTCATTATTATTAATTCACTGTTATTAAGATTTCTAAATAGTATCCTAGTAGTGCAGCTATATTGAATCGTGACGTCGGAAGCGAGAAATGACATTCATTTTTGTTACGTGCCTCTTATTTGTAAATAAAGACAATTTGAATAAACCGAAATGATGAGATCGCTTTAAAACATTTGTAAAAATGGATAAAAACTATATACTTATCCCCCCTGAAAGTCAATAAATAATCGTAAAAAAGTAATAAAAGGCACTTATAAGTGAAAATATGTTACGCATGTATATACGTGCCTCTTATCACTTTACGATTATTTACTGGGGGGGGGGAGGGAGATAAGGATAGCTTTCGTCCATTTTTACAATTGTTTTAAAGCGATCTCATCATTTCATTTTATTCAAATTGTTTTTACTTACAAATGACACATAATAAAAATTAACGTATTATTTCTCGCTTCTGACGTCACGGTTCAATATGGCTGTGCATCTTTCTGCTTTTTATTTCCACGCGATTAATTAATAATAGGACATAAATATATTTTACGAAAGAAAATATTAGTATGAGTGCTATTAACAAGAAATTGAATGCATATCCCAAAAGCAATTTGGAAACGATTAGATCATTTATTTGTTTAAATTGATTGAATAATAACAATTTATTATTATAATTAGATGCTACTAATCACAGATAAAGACTATGTACGTTTTCCTATATCCAGTTTCTAATATCATTAACCTTTAATTGGTGACGTACGTCAAATTAACTCCCTATCACTGGTGGTGACGTCAAATTGAATGTGTTATTATTGTGATATGTTCTTCACTATCCGCTGCTGCATTTCTCGCTCTACGCAATTCATTAGTTCTCAACCGACTGTGAAAGTTGAACATATATTATGTTTTTCCCACTTTTGTTATCGAATTACGACACTAGAAGTTATTAGTAACTGATATCGCAGAATCTGTGTTTATGCTCAATGTTCCGGTGGTAGGAATATAATTCTCTTATAATTCTCTATTTGTGTCTGCTATATTTCTGCATCCAATAGATATGTATTAGTATTTAATTTTGTTATCACTATTTATCATAATAATTATGATGATATATTAATATTATTAAAATATAGTTCTATTTAAGGATACATCAATTTGTCGTCACATCACTAGTGATATCAAGAAAAGAAGATCACTACTTGAAGGTTAAAGAAGATAAAATATAATTTAAATGCTCATAGAAACAATATAGAAACAGATAATAAATTTCTATTATTAACAATTGTTTAATGAATGATGTAATCATAAATATTAAATTTTCAAAAAAGATTAAATTTTTGAATTAATTTTTTGTAACCAGTACTGTGTTTTATGATTGTTTATTTAGCAACAGAGTATATTTTGCAAAATATGTTAATATTATCAGTTAATAATTATTAAATTATAAAAATAAAATATTTAAAAATCTACATGTCAAAAATACATAGTTACGGCACTAAATGCAACAATGAAAGAATATTTTTAGAAGTATAAAGACTAGAATTAGGATTTAAATTAATTTCAAATTAATTTAACATATATGTATATAAAGAATAATGTAATTATGAATTTATTATTAAACAAAACCGAATATTTCTAAAAGTGATTTGAATAACGAAGATACATTATCCAAAGTATACAATTATAGTTCTGTTGTAGTTCCATTGAAGAGTAACCGAATGTTACAACATTTTGCAATCGATTCTAAAGCATAGAATCGATTACTTTACTTTCATTTTTTATTCCTTACTAAAAGAGGCATATATTCTAAGATAAGACTGTGTTTATCTATATGCTTTTTTAGAAAATACACTGCGGTTAATATCAAAATACATTATCGCGATTTGGTAATGCTATTGTTATGCGAGTAAGTTTGATACTATATTAAGATTTTAATATTGCATTATTTTAAATTTCCTCTTTCAACATAAAATTTTAACAATTTCAGAAAGATATTTCAAAATTCAGTGAATTATAAATGAGAGATAAATATATAAATTGTCAACTCTGTTATTTATTCCTTATATTGTATCTTTTTCAGTTATTTTCAACTATTTTCGTATTTTACAATCATCTAAGTTTGTTAATTTATTATTGATTGAAACATTGCATCAAATGGTGATCTTATTAAGTTTTTGCTTTATTTTAAAATTTGTCATTAAATTTGTTTATTATTAAGATTTCATTTAATAATGATAATTATAATTGATTTTTTTCTACTTTCTAAAATGGAATACGGAAAAAAATAATTTTATCTTGTTACATTATAATAACAGTATTGGATATAATATCATTAGTCATATTATGTAGATTATAATGGATTAATTTAATTATTAATTTAATTAATTTAATCATTATTAATGATATTAGCAATTATCATTAATATTTGATACATATTTTTTGCGAACAATTTTTTTGTCAATTCTGATTTTAAAGCGAATAAGAATAAAAATACGATATATGATAGATTATAAACTAGTTGACTAAATTTTATACAACTATTCTAATTAGTTTACAGGTCATTACCACACACAGTCCTTAGTCCAGATCATTATTATTTGTATAGCATTAAGAAAAAGAATATGTTACAAAGTTTTTAGAATAACAAACAACTTGCGCTAATTATATTGTTAAATTTTTAACGATAGTGTTTGTCATTATTAAGATATTTTCAGTACATTTTAAACTTTTGTAAGAGGTATTATGCATTTTTTTCTATGAATGAATATTATTACATGTTTTGTATTCATAAAATACAGAAAAAAAGTGATTGCAAATTGACCAGTGTATTTGTCTATATTTAACTAAGTATCTATCCTAACTGGAATAATGCAGTGATTCATAAAAATATTCATATTTATGTAATTATTCTGAATATGTTTTAAGAAAGATGTTATAGGATTCTTATGTGAGGAATGTATATCATATTCAGTTGATTAGATTTTTGCTGAAAAATGATCATGTATAAAGGATTGCAATGATCACATATAATATGTATACCGCATTCATATTCTGATACTTGAATTAAATTTTTATTTATATTAAACTATTGTTTTTATTTATGTTAAACTATTGTTTTTATATCAAATTTATTATAATTGAAAATTTATATAATATTCTGTTAGGATTTCTGTAACATTTCTAATAAAACATATTACAATTGTAAAGTTAATGTTAAAAAAAATCTGAGCCTCTCTTTACAAACATATATATTACGCGTAATATAATATTGTACAATTTTTTAGTATATACAATACTTGTAAATAGACGAATATTAAAATAAGATTTTCGAATTAATGTTATATATATATTATAAATATAATCTCTATATAGAACAGTTCGCGTTGTTGTCTTATTAAAGAAATAAAGTTCAACAGATAATTAAATATTTTCGATATCTGAATTGTGTGTTATAATATTGTTACATCTTTCTCAAAATGAGCTTGATATAATATTCAAAATTATTTATGAAATGATCTTCATTTATTTTTAATGATATACGTTAATCATATTTTTACGTGTCTCTCCAGTATATTATGATCGAAATTGTCTTAAAACTCATACATTAAAATTTTATATATAAATTTTTAATCTTAAAATTTTTTAAAATTAAAATTTTATTTTATGAAACTGTTAGGAAGTTATCTTACGTCATTTTGGAGATGACGTATCCTAATTTAGATCTTTGATACTTCATTTGAAATTATTTTTAGATATTTCGTGTATAAAAATTAATTATATCGAAATTCAATAGTAAGAAAAAAATAGGAAAAAAGAGCTGAGGTTAATAAATACTAGTATACTGGTATAAATAATAATACTGCAAATAATATAATATTTACACAACTTTGTTAACTCTGCTCTATATCTTCTACTACGTATCATATTATTACTATATGCGTATGTATTATATTTTGTTATGTATAGCATATATCTATATATTCGCATTCTTGTGAGGAAAATGACACAAATAAAAAATATATAATTGTTTAGGAGAGAAGAAAAAAATTGCATATTTAAAAATTGATTATTATAGTAATATTGAACATAATA